CCAGATACTCAATTTTCTGACGACCAAATGAGCATTTTGCCATTTTGGCAAATAAATGATGTTTCTCCAAGCATTCTAGGACCGTTTCCACATGCTGCATATGAAGTTCCCAAGTGGCACTGTAGATCAGTATATCATCGAAAAAAATCAACACAAATCGCCGCAAGAATGGTCGAAAGATAGCGTTCATCAATGCCTGGAACGTAGCTGGCGCGTTAGTAAGCCCGAATGGCATTACGAGCCACTCATACAGACCTTGATGCGTTCGGAATGCGGTCTTCTCTCTGTCTAATTCCTTCATTAATATCTGGTGATAACCAGAACGTAGGTCCAGCTTTGAATAAAAAACAGAGCCATGTAGTTCATCTAGTAGTTCATCTACCGTAGGCATCGGGAACGCATCCCTCACAGTCACTGCGTTCAAGGCTCTGTAATCAATACAAAACCACCACGTTCCATCCTTCTTTTTGACAAGGATTACTGGAGCTGAAAATGGGCTTGCACTTGGTTGAATTAATCCTTCCTCTAATAGTTCGGTCACCATTCGTTCAATTTCTGCCTTCTGACTCACCGGATATCGGTATGGCCGAACCTTCACAGGTCCTGTGTTCGGCAAAAGTGTTATGGCATGCTCATGGTCCCGCGATGGAGGTAATCCGTGGGGTCTATCAAATACTACTTTATGTTGCTGTAGCATGTGTAACAAGTCTGCGGGTAAATCTTCTGGCCAAACACTGTTCTTCCCAGTGTTTTCATCAGCAGTTAATACATATAACTCAGCTATACCGTCCACATGAGTGATCCGCTGTAACTGGTGGCATTGGGCCCTTAACACGGGTGACCCTCTGTACCCCTTCAAAGTCGCGACCTGTCCATCTTGGAATATTTTGATGGTAGAAGTGCTGTAATCAGACACATGGGGCCCCAATGTCTCTAACCAATCAGCACCCATTACCATATCTACTCCAGCCACCGGTAGTACATACATTGTGATGGGGATGGTTTGACCGCAGATCTGTACGGGAACGTCTACGACCTGCTTATCACTCTTCATGATTCGACCGAATCCAACCAACACCCTCAACTCCTCTGCTTGCACGACGGGTAGTCCGATGTGGTCTACCATTCGGGGGTGTAGGAAAGTATCCGAGGTTCCTCCGTCTAGCAATATCTGGACCTTCGTGCCATATATTTCACCATTGAACCGAATGGTAGCAGCTCCTTGGGTACCTCGCAACGCGTGCAATGATAAGTGATGCGTTGGAATCTCGGCCTCAACTAATATTTCCCCCTCATCCTCTACCACGACTTCGTCATTGTTCTCCCCTTCCCCTATAAGCATCATAAGTTGTTTATTAGGGCACCGGTGTGTCAGACTGAACTTGGCGTCACACGTATAGCATAATCCTTTCTCTCTCCGAATCTGCATTTCGGCCGATGTCATTCTCTTTATCTGTGCTGCCTTGGGCGTGGGTAATAATGGTGGTAAGTTAGCCTTTCCCCCACTCAAAGAGTTTCATGGAGTCACAGTGTTGCCCCCCATCACTGTTGAATTAGGTTTGTGAAGGACCATGGTCGTAGTGCGAGGTTTGTAACTTCCCGCTCCCCCTACTGGGTTTTCTGCAAACAGTCGCGCCAGTGCCATAGCACTTAGAACAGAGGTGGGACGCTGTACTAATACACTCCTCTTAAGCTCCGGTAGCAAGCCCCCCAAATAACAATCTAATAATGCCGGTTCAGGCACCTCTTCCGTGCGGTTGGCGAGGGATATGAATTTGTTGTTATAATCATCAAGAGCCCCTCCCACTCCTTGCTGGGTGAGTTTAAAAAGTTGTGCTCTAGCACAGTCGAACTTAGAGGGCCCATACTGCATTTCAATCGCATGAGTCAAGGAGAACCAGTTTGGGATCCGCCCTGCCTTCTCCAGCATTTGGAACCATGACAGCACATCTCCATCGAAATGAACTGAAGCAATAAGGATCTTTTGCGCGTCGCTCGCTTCGTAATATCGGAAATATTGTTCGGCCTTAAATATCCAATCCAACGCATTCGTCCCATCGAATCGAGGGAAGTCAACCTTCATCGTCTTACCAGTATACGGGATCTGGTTAAGGGGTTGACCCCTAGATAAGCTCGATTGGAAGGTCTCCTTCATCACCGAGGATGAGGCTTGTTCGCCTTGAGCACTCAACCCGTCCATCTTCTTTGCCATCATTTGTATCAAGTTCTCCAGCTTGTCAAATCGTTCATCCATGCGATCAAACCGATCTTTGGCTTCATCAACAAATTCGTTGGTTCTCCGCACCTCCGCTTGCAGTTCTTTCAACCATGTGTTCTCGGCCATTTTCCGTCTCTCAACGAGAACACCAAATGTAATGTTAACCTGCAGAGCAAATTATATTCTACGATATATTCTATTCAAAACCAGAATCTGTATTCATATATCATTCATCGATGGAATTCACAGATTACACTCATAACTGTCATAGCAGCACGCAAGAGCACGTAACAGAAAATAATCACAGAATATTCAAGGGGAGAGAGAGAGAGAATGTCAGAAGGGAGAGTCCGTCCACCTACACCCTGCTTCTAACAAACTTTGTCCTTTATACTCACGCGTCGCCTTCCAATTCCCTCAGTTTCCACGTTTTCTTCCTGACTCGCTGGCTCTTCCGGATATGGGTCGACATATGCTCTGGTTGTGGGCCTATTGGTCCAATTTCACGGCTTGAGTCCATTACAGGAAGAGAGAGAATATTCATGAACTATATGCCAGATTCATATTAAAAACCAACATCTGGAAAACTGATAGGCCCACGAAACATCACCATTCACCATCGTCAGAACAGTTGGTGTCAGATTATGCCAAAAAGAAGAAGACAATTACAGCAGATTGGGAGGGACAATGAAATCATGGACAGGACCAAACATAAAACCAGTCGATGAATGAAGCAGTTACCAGAGAGGCAATGCGAGACCATTTGTTACCGTTCTTGGAGTGCATGTAGATGATCAGATCTTGCTCGTCTGGAGAAAAAGAGCCTTTCTTGAGGTTAGGCCGAAGATGATTTGTCCATCGGAGCCTGCAACTTTTGCCGCTACGAGCCAGCCCAGTGTTGTTGTGCACCTTGTTCCAGTTTCCTTCGCCATGCTTCTTCACGTATTCTATCAACATCGCATCTTCTATCCTCTTCCAGGGTCCCTTCTTCATCTTCTTTGCGCCTCACAGCACAATTTTTTTCTTTGAGGGTGTTTCTGGGAATGCGATTCATCAAGAACAAGCTGGTTATATATATAGAGTTTTGTTCGTCTCTCTCGAGACGATCGCCCAGAAAATGAGAAGAGAGATGGAGGGAAAATTTGTGAAGATTTTGTCTTTTCAGGCCAAGACAGAGACTGCAACAGAAAGGAACATTTTAGAAGCTTTGATTCATGGTAGAGACAGAGAGGTGTGGGACCAAGGAGTGAGGGGAGAAGCAGGGAGAGGGAAATATACTTACAGTAAGAGCAAGGGTGGCCAACTGTCTTTCCTGCTGTTTGAAATATCATGGATGTTATGTTGAGTTCTTGATTTCAAAGTTCTTACTTCTTAAAGAGTTAACAGGGGAACAGTGACTAAACCGGAAAAAGTAGTGGGCGAGAGATTTTTTCCCCCTCGAAATTGATTCAAAAACTTCACTATCAAAGCTGAAAATTTCCGAACTCTATTTTTTTCCAAGGTGCAATCAACACTTAGCATTAATTGATTTCAAAGTATATTAAAGTTAATTTATTTTTGTCCCATGTCATTGATTGAAGTCAAGCGTTTTAATTGCATATCGCTGGTAATAAATTCAGAAGTCTTCATTAAATGTCTTTGTCGCATATTAGTTATGAAATCAAATCTTTATACTGTTACACAAACCATAACAACACGTGTCAAGAAACAAAATGTAAAAATTTTAAATATTTTATTATGTATTTACATGATGATCAGGGAAAAGGATCGTTGTATTTTGAAAGAGGATCGTCGTATCTATTTCGTCAATATTTAGTACTAATTCATAAAATAAGTATAAAAGATATCTTTTGGGAAAAAAAAAATAAAACATAACAAACTAAAAGAACATAATAGTAAGACGCGCTGTGTGCACACACCTTAGCATAATGGAGACGACCCAATTCAGACAATTTGAGAGCCATGTTACACATATTACTTTCATGTGGATCCAATATGATCCCTTTGCTTCCACGATTTCATATGTCCTTACTATGCCCTTATTATCACTTGCTCATATCGTTTATTTAGCTCACTGAATAAATTTTTAAAAAATCCCAAATAAAAATACGTCCCAAAATGTAAATTAACACATAAAATCAAAAAACAATTCTAAATAAAATCTTCCAAAAACTCCGAAGTCTCTAGACGTTTTGCATTAAACATTCCAATGAAAACTAACCTCGCACCATCTCCCTCTCATTTCAAAACTGGCTTTGACGGTCGTATGTCGTCATCTCACCGTTTCACTATTAATTTTTTTCTAACCACACGTTGTTTGCTAAGCTCTAAAAAAAAATTGAAGAAAGAGGGAAAGAAAAATAAATTAAACCTTAAGGAATTTAGTGGAAGCTGAGCAGATGGGATTAGAATCCCCTTTTGGTTAGTCTTTTGTTTTAGTTGGGCTTAGCCTTCTCTCTTGTAACCAAAAAAAAAAAATTAAACCTTGATGGTCGTACATGGGTCCTTTACCAAAGGCGGTAGGCCCTACCACAAAATTAGCTTCGCCAGCACACACATAAGCCCACGTTAATTATAGAAGGCTGCTAAATGTGAGACGAAGTTAGAAGCAAAGAAAACACCGATGCTTATTTGGTCAACACGATTTGTCTTTGCATAAATTTTTATTTATTTTGGCCTAAAAATTCCTACGTGTGTATTGGTAAAGCGAAGAATGAGAACAGAAATCAAAACAGACCGCTAGGCGCTAGCCCCATAGAATTCACGTTGGGAAAACAAAAATGGCGGAAATAATCCCTATGAACGGACTCTTTCTGAAAGAGACCCATATAAGATGAGATTCAGCAGGGAAAAACACACCATCGTTAATTGCTTCCAAATCAGGTAAGTTTCATAGAAGGACATAAATAAGAAGGGTTCAAAACACTTTACAAGCTGAATCTGAAGCATTTAGACCGTCACAAACACGACATGAATCATATCTCGAATTATGGCTTCACCTGAACAACAACTTTGCCAACATTGGAGCTTGTGAATAAGGAGGCTAAGCTCTCTAAAAAGCTCTCGATCCCCATGTTGATTTTAGTCTTGGTCTTGACTTTTCCTTCCTTGATGTATCTCTCCATTACTTCAGCGAATTCTCCAAATCGATGAGAATATGAAGCCAGCATAAAACCCTCCATCCTCACTTCCTTCCCCACCATGTTCAGCAGATTCCTCACCCCTTCCCTTTCTGTCCAAACCTGCATTTTCACATACATTCACATTCATACTTGACATTGCACTGTATTTAGAATTATAGCAAGCCAAAAAAAAACAGTCACAGATTATATAATACTGGAGCTTTATTGGTTGATTGATTACCTTGTTGTACTGGGATATCATTCCGCAAAGTGGTATGCGTGCGTACTTGTTGACATGATTAAGCACAGCTTCAAGCATCCTGCCCCCAACATTATCAAGGTAAACATCTATACCGTTTGGGAAATACCTGCATAATTCAACGTCCAACTCAAATGATGGAGTAATGAGGCGAAGGGTAAAAGACTGAAGTTGAACGAAGGCATAAGATTAATGAGGGACACCTGCTTAAAGCAGCGTCATAATCTGTTTCCTTGTGGTAATTGAATCCGTCATCATACCCAAATTCCTCTTTCATAAGCTTTATCTGTGAAACTCGCTCATTGGGTAATGAAATTTTTTATGGTAGGATAATCGCAATGAACAGAAGTACAGTGTCTATTTTTGGGTAGGGATGCCCAATTATTTTTATCCCTTAAATTAAAGTGGCTGAAAAGGAAATTAGCGAACGAAATGGAAGCAATGGATGATGTTGATGTTGGGTGGAGCAGAGTACCTTATCATCAGAGCCAGTACTTCCAATGACCCTGCAACCTCGAAGCTTAGCAAGCTGGCCAGCATACATTCCCACAGCTCCAGAAGCGGCAGAGACGAACACATTTGATCCTGGCTTTGGATCTCCCAGCACCTCTATGCCCACCCATGCCGCAAACCCTGGTACTCCTGAATCCAAACAAGCCAACCCATTCCGATGTTTATTTTACTGTATTCTCTTCTCAAAAGGAAGAAAAATTGACATTAAAAACCAACCCATGGAGCTTATGTAGTCAGGCAACGATATTCCAGAGTTTGGATCGAACTTTCTGAGCATCAAAGAGGACGTGACGCAGTACTCAGCAATGGGACAATTCGGATGAACCACAATATCACCCTCTTCATACTTACTGTCCTTGGATCGGATCACCCTTCCAATCCCAAAAGCTGATATCACCTGCACAAACACACACACACAGAGATATATCTTCAGTTGAAGAATCTGGGTTCATCTTAATTCATTTGTCAATTAAAGAGTGGAGTGGAAGAAACAAGTGTACGTGGTTAAGTTCAAATTGGACGGGGTCGCGAGAGCCACTCATTCTGGTGCGAAGGTATGGATCCACCGAAACAAAGAGGAGCTCCAGGGCAACATGGCCATCAGGGATTGAATCGGCGACCAGAGATAGCTTCACCGTTCGGAGTTTCAGATGATCGGAGGGCGGAACCCCCTCCGCTGCATAAGCTGCCATGTACCATTCTCTGCTTTCCACCTCCGTTTTCGCTTCATTTCCACCACCACCTCCCATTCTATTATTTACTTCGCCCCTTGCTTGGGATGTATCTCCTTTTCCTAATGATCATAATCGGCCATTATCATCCATTCGTTCTAACTTCTAATCTCCATTTTCATTTCATTAATTATTATTATCATTATTCTTCCCGCTGCTTTACCTGTGGATATGTTCAAGAGCAATAATTGTTTGGTTCTTTTTTGACAAGTGCTGATGTGATTCACGCTTCACATCTAAATAAATCACATATTTTTTTAATTTAAAAATTTTGCATGCCGTTTTCCGAAGATTAGAAGATACTGATACTTTAACCCCCCCACAAAAAAAAAAAACACTGTAGAATCATCGTTATATTTATTAATTTTACAAAAGGGGGAATTTCAAAAACAGAAGGATGCATGAAAAAGACAAAACTGTGAATTGGACATTCCAAACGGGCCCATACTTTGGGAAGGTTATGCAGCTGGCCTGGTGCTGTGTTTTGATTTTTTTGGGTGGTTTTTTTTTTTGGGGGGGGGCTAATCAAAAATTAAAAATTAAAAAGAAAAAGAAACCTTTATGCGCCATTGTCCAGCAGAATATGACATCTTAAATGGCTATGCTGTGGGTCCCACGATGGTTTACAAATAATGCAATGGTCTATTATTACAATTCTGATATAACATTAATTAGTATTTGTTTTTTTCACTTAATTTATTTAAACATCGCAGTAGTATATTCAGTGGATTTTATCTAATTATTTAACACGAATGCGTTGAACAAAGCATTTCAATTGACTTGAGTGAGCTGCATATATTTGTATAAAGATTAGGATGACCAATGCTCCTTCCACTCATCAACAATGTAATTTGTTACAGTCTTAATTTCATACATATATTAATGACAATGATTTAATCATAAAATGTTGTACCATACATGCATAAACACGTACGCATATTTCGAAAAGATCCAATCACAACGAAATAATGAACTGCTTTTTATCCAATCTGGTAATTATCTAATGTATAGTTAATAATAAATATTTATATAAATATGAATTTCATCATCTATTGGAGCATGCAATTTCAAAACGCCGAAAAAAATGCGGGAAATGTTTGTTTTATATAAATATACAAGCGTGTACTTTTAATCTTTATCGTTTTTCATTTTTCGTGATTTGATATAAAAAGGAAGTGAATTAAAAGATTGCTCAATACAAAATACATATTTAGTAAAACTACGATCAGCACGTAAGCATATTATCTGGCTAAAAAAAAAAAATTAAGTTGAAAGGCTTAACATATATCTTCTGTCCGTGCTCCTCGATCGACTTTGAACAAGTAAAATGCATAATGCTGTTTGTTTTCATAGTTTTGTAATTAACCACATATTTTGATATTATTGAAAACTACAAAAGTCAACCACAAATACAAAAGTCAGATAATTAAGTTTCATACATAAACAGGAGGCGTGATTAATTAAACAGAAATGGGATTAACTAAACACGTGGCTTAACCTGAATAATCACTTTGCCATCATTGGAGCTTGAGAAGACAGAGGCTAGGCTGTCTAAAAAGCTGTGAATGCCCAGATTGATTTTATTCCTGGACTTCACTTTCCCTTGTTTCATGTAACCTTCCATTGCCGCAGCGAACTCTCCAAAACGATGCAAATGGGAGCGAACCATAAAACCCTCCATCCTCACTTCCTTCCCCACCATGTTCAACAAATTCCTCACCCCTTCTCTTTCCCTCCAGACCTGCATTAAATATGAACAGGATTATTCGATAATTACACACACACACACACATGTACTGCAGTTTTATTGATTAATTGAAAGGGATTACCTTATTGTATTGGGATATCATTCCGCAAAGCGGTATGCGTGCAAACTTGTTGACGTGGTTAAGTACAGCTTCCAGCATCTTGCCTCCCACATTGTCCACGTAAACATCTATACCGTTTGGGAAATACCTGCAAATATCTCATTTTAATTCCCAACCTAGTTAATCATGTACGCCTACTAATCAAAACACAGAGAGAAAAAGATGAAGCAGGCATATATACACCTGCTTAAAGCAGCATCGTAATCTGTTTCCTTGTGGTAGTTGAATCCGTCGTCGTAACCAAACTCCTCTTTTATCAGCTTCACCTGCCAATTCGTTCCATTATTATACTCATCAACTGCTACTTGTTTTATTTTCAACTATGATTTTAGGAGTAATTTTTATATTTTAGCCATATATAACCATAGCAGTTTAATTTTATTGAAGACTAAAATTAACGAAGCAAATAATCGAAGAATGAAAGAAGTAGCCCTCCTTTTTCTCTCTTAGCTAAGTTGGCTCTTGAATCCTGCCCTGACACAATGCGTTTAAATGTGTGTGTGAATCGTTCGTGTATATTATACACTTAGTACATTTTGATATGTTTCAATTTTAAAAGATGCTGAATATATAGTAAACATGACCTTTTAATCGGCAGCTATATATTTAAAAGAATAATGATCTGTGACAAAATTATAGTCTTCGTATATTATGAAGAGGCTAAAACTCACATCATGCTAACTCTCCGTACATAGATCGAGAGGCGTTGTTATTTTATGATTTTTTTTTTTTTTGTGGTTCAAAAGCTGTTAATATGATATTATGATTTGAGAACTCATGTTCTTGGCCACGCATTAAGATTTCCGACACAGGGGCCAACTTTTGCGCACATATCTGGATTTTCATTGCACGTCTCCTTGAGATGTGACACCCCAACAAATCTCCACCAGCTTATTTTCTCATTTTCCTACTGACTTTTGTAAAATATCTGTCCCATGACTTGGTATGCCACTAATAATCCAATTTAAACCATCATTATTGTGCGAGAATTGTCCGCGTGTTTGGTGAACTGTGCATGAAAAACCATCTGACTCATGTATCAGGAGAATAGCACAAACTACCTCACAAAAACCATCATTACGATGTATGATCAAAAAGCGCAGCTCATGAGGCGTATTATTATTTTTTTTTTCGTGATACCATGAGTGCGTATTAAAATATAGAGATAATTACAATCAAGTCCTAAAAAAATATAATTATTAAAAATTCTTCATAACAATCTAAAAAACTTATGATGAAAACTTTTAAAATAGAAAATAATAATTTTTTAGACTTATTTTGTAATTATCTTTTAAAAAAAAAACGTATTGTAATTCTCCCAAAAATATACGAGTGTCTGTGTAAGTACCTTGTCATCGGAGCCAGTGCTGCCAATAACCCGGCAGCCGCGGAGCTTGGCGAGTTGGCCGGCAAACATTCCCACACCACCGGACGCAGCAGAGATGAAGACATTGGATCCTGGCTTTGGTTCCGCCAGCACCTCTATACCCACCCACGCTGCAAACCCTGGCACTCCTGCGTCCAACCATAGCTTTCATGCTCAACTTATTTCCCAACATGTTTAAGTAATTTTGCGTTATATGGTAAAGTGCAACAATAATTTTTTTTTTTTAGGTTGTATCCAAACCAGCAATAAATATTATCATCCTGAAACCTACCCAAGCAGCTTAGGAAATCAGGCAATGAAATGGCAGTGTTGGGATCAATTTTTTTGAACATGTGGGACTTCACCACGCAGTACTCTGCTACGGGTATAAATGGATGAAGCACAATGTCGCCCTCCTCAAACTCACTGTTCTTGGATCGTACCACCTTCCCAATCCCAAAAGCCGTGATCACCTGCATACATACGCACATGTATATATAAATCAAAATCTGCAGGGTTCTTTTTTTTTTTTTTTTTTGGACCAGCAAGGGTTCTTGTTTATTTTAAGTATCCGGTAAAGAATTGCCAGAGCGTACCTGGTTGAGTTGGTACGGGTCAGAGTGGAGGCCGTCGAGGAGGCCGGTCATTCTGGAGCGAAGATATGGGTCGATGGAAACGAAGAGGAGCTCGAGGGCGAGGTGGCCGTCCGGGATGGCGTCGGCGGCTAGCGATAGCCGGACTGTTCGGAGCTTGAGATGATCGGAGGTGGGAACACCCTCCGATGCATACGATGCCAAGTACCATTCTCTGCTCTCAACCTCATCACATATCTCTCCCATTCTTCCACTTTTTTCCTTCTTTGGCCACCAGACGCTTCTTCCACTTTAATACTCTCTCGCAAAGCAGAGGTACTCACATGGCCTATTTTTTTATAATTATATCGTATAAAAAAGAAAAGAGAGAGTGGTATCAAAAAGTAATCACCGCAACACACACGAGACACTAATTTATAGGGAAAAAAAAATACAAGGCAACATATAAAAACTATAAAATGATACTACCGCCATCTTTGAGCACGAGTGAGACTGAGATTACAAGCCTATGCTCGCATCCCTTATTTCCACCGTCAGGTCCCTTCCCTGTTAGACAGAAGATAATGCATTCACATAGATAAAGACTGGCAGTAATCAATTTTAAAATATATAAATAATATGTATGCAAATGAGGATACGATTTTTTTTTATTATTTTGGTAAAACAAAATTGGAAAATAATTTAAAGATATGAACCTAAGCTATTACGTACAAACAAACAAACAAACAACAAGCCTTATCCCACTAGGTGGGGTCGGCTACATGAATCACACGACGCCATCGTGCTCTGTCAACAACCCAATCCTTAGATATGTTGTTGATTAGGAGGTCTCGTTCAATGACCTCATTCAGCGTTCTTCTCGGTCTTCCCCTGCCTCTTTTTATGGGACTCCATCTTGTTTGATCCACCCTCCTCACCGGGGCCTCCAAAGGCCTTCTCTGCACATGTCCAAACCATCTTAAGCGATTTTCAACCATTTTCTCTTGGATAGGTGCCACACCGACTCTTGTCCTGATCTTTTCATTTCGAATCCTATCTTTTCTTGTATGACCACACATCCATCTCAACATCCTCATTTCTGCTACTCCGACTTTGTGCTCTTGTTTTCCCTTTATTGCCCAACATTCACTACCATACATCATAGCTGGTCTTATAGCAGTCCGATAAAATTTTCCTTTAAGTTTCTCAGGTACCTTCTTATCGCAAATAACTCCGGTAGCTTTCCTCCACTTTAACCAGCCAGCTTGTATTCTATGAGAAATGTCTCCATCAATTTCCCCATCCTCCTGTATAATGGA